TTATGCTTTATCACAGAGCAGGACAGAGCATCCATTACAGTTCTCCCCGAAGGGGGGGCCGGGGGGAACCCCTCAGAACAACCAAGAACATCAGAAGAGCTCATGGCTTCACCCCCCAACGAGAAACACGACAACAGCCGCAGGCTGGCATCACGGTTCTGCCGCCGGCACCCCCCGCGCCCCGCTACTTACATACATTCGTTACACGGTGCACGCACAGAGCGGACACAGAATGAGCAGGAAGAGGAACATCCACCAGAACATACTCGGGTCTAATGTAGACATCAACAGAAAGGAAAACCCGACACGGTCCAGAACGCCTGAGCTGCGGCTTCCACCCTCGTCCTCATCGGAGCATGACAGCAGCTGGGAGCGAGGGACAGGGGGGAACGGAGCCCACGCCAACAGCCGTGCCTGGGCCAGCGCTGCACCGACACCTGCGAGAGCCTGAGCTTCACCAAACACTTCCGAAAGTGCAGTTTGGGCACCCGGGGCTCTCTGAGCCAGCCCCACCAGAGCCTTCGCAGGAGCTTGATGGCAAGCACAGACACAGATGCCGCTTTTCTCTTGCTAAATCCACTTGCACTTCGGCAGTAGCCCGAGCTGAAGGCTCACCAGCAGCCTCAGCATGTCCCACAGAGCCAAGAGTCCCAGATGGGATGATGGGGATGCAGGAGAGCAAACAGCTACGTGGGGACCGGCTGTCTCATAGGGCTGCTCTGCTCAAACCTTGGTGGAGCAAGAGAAACATGGTGCTTCCTCTTAACGATGGACAGAGCAGGGGGTTACAGCAGGGAGCTGCTGGGTCACCAGAGAAAACCCTGACCAAAAATGTACAGGCAGCTTACGACCCAGATGGGCTGGAGGTTCAGTGTGACAGAACTGCACAAGGATTGTCTCAAAAAGCCCGAACGCTCGAGGAAAGTCAACGCTTGGAATGAACATGCTGCAAGAGGTTTGGGGTTCTCCACCTCTCTTGGAACCAAGCGCAGCTCCAGCTTGTCAAGTTCATTCACGGAGATGCTCCATGGAGGTGGGGCTCAGATGCTCCCTGCACAGAGGCTTTAGAGCCCCCTGAAGTGAGGGGAAGGAATAAAAGTCTCCATCAACAACGTTTAAACCATCTTAAACAAGGTGCTTGATTTCAGTTGGCTGGAAAGGCCTGAGGGGGACAAACCCAGCACCCACAAGCAGGGTGGTTCTAGGGTGGTGAGCTCAGGCCAGGCCACCCAAGCCCAACTTCCTGGCCTCCTCCAGCACAACACCCAAGAGCAACATCTGAGGATGCACAGGGGATGTGGCTCCCTCTGGCCTCTCTACACACAGCATCACACTTCGAGGGGAGAAAAAAGGCTGAATTCTCAGCATTTGGAAGCCTCCAGCTTTCAGCCCAGAGGCAGGTTGGGCTGTAGGTATCTCACTCCTCCTGCCTCCTCTGCTCCGAGCCCCTGGAGCGCTGTCCACAGCCTGCAGAGCCCAGGGCTGGCACAGAGAGGGGATAAGAGCCATTCCCCAGACTGCAGCAGGGCTGCCACGGAGCAATGCTAGCAGCTGGGTGAATGAGCCATCAAGGAGTGACTGAAAGGGGAGAGTTAAAGACTTCTGATAGATTATTTGGTAAATACATGAATACATCTAATGTCAGCAGCTTGCAAGATCCCCAGCCTGTGCTCTCGAGAGCAGCACACCTTACAGCCTTCAGCATCTGCAGGTAAGGGGGGGAAGTCTGGGTCCTGCACTGCTAGGCAAGAAAACATCCATTCCTGAAGATCCTCACCAAGTTCAGCACATGGCAGAGCTTCCCACCAGCCCAGTTCCCTTCTGGGACCTGAATTAAGCTGTCCTGAGCACTGCTGGGAATGCAGATTGGGGGGATCGAGCCCTGAGAGAAGGGTCCCTCTCCCCCACTCCTCTACAAGGAATCCCAAGGGCAGTCTGAACATTGTAATGAGAATAAAGATGTTTTGACCCTCTTGCTTAAGCAAGGCTCATAAAGCACAGGAATGAGACCTGGCTCCTTCTGGTCTAAAGGATTTCTTTTCTTCTTTCTGGGAGATGAGGATGGGCTTGCTTGAGTTCAAGACAATGCTATGGCGTGTGTCCTGCTGGCGGTTGGGTGAGCCTTGTCTGACCACTACCCAGTGACACCAAATCCCCTTGCTTTAAGCCCTCCTCAAGCAAACTATCTCAGACAGCTGAAGCAGCGATTCCCAAGGGCTGATGTTACCACAGGCAACATCCCAGGCACCAACAGAGCCTGTGAACATGGAATTCGGTGGCAGAGCCAAGCTCCCATTCCCGCCTCCAGCACCACGCTGCCCGCCCTGAGGTACGGATGATCTATGTGAACCCAATGTCTGTGCCCCCCCCGAGTACACCCATGAGCATGCAAGGTGCTAAGTGGCTCCAGTGGGATATGCAGTGTCCAGCCAGGCCACAGCTGGTCCCGGGAGGTGCACATCTGTCCGTGCCCGCGCGTCCGGTGC